TTATTATTTTTTTTTTTTTCATTATTTAGCTTCATTTTTTTTAATAACTCCTAGGCCCCCTTCCCTTTTAAACTTTACCAATTCAGACTCTAGCAATAACCCCTAACCTTGGCCCTAACCTTTTTTTTATTAAAACCCTTTTTTTTTGTTTGGATGATTAAAAAAACACTCAGCACATTTTGCCCACTTTTGTACCCCCCAAGGGGCCCCAAATGTGCTTTTACCTTTTTTATTTCCCCATCGAAACAATTAGGGAAAATTATTCGAAACCCGGCACATTGGCAATCCGCTTGCAGCAAATTAATTGCGGGTCATCTCCCCTTACCTTATTTGGGAAAGGGATGGGTCCCTCTACCCCCCAAATTTTTAATTTTTTTTTTTTAGCCCAAATTCTTCTCCTTAATTTTAAGTCTGCTTTTGCAATCTTTCAACCAATGATTTCAGTTCCAAACTCTTTATCCCAGTGAAGAAAATTAATGCATCACACAACACCATCCCCTTTCACTTAGTTGACATAAGACCGGGCCCTTGCCCGGGATAAAATCAAGCATGTTTTTGACTGGGGTTCTCATCAAATTTCCATCAATTTAACCAGATCTCCTTTTTTAGTTTTATTCCTATTTTTTTAACCAAAATTCAAGATGACGAGATTAACTCGAGAGGGAACAATGGGGGCTTCATCCCAAAAACCGCAAAAAGGCCTTCGTGAGGAAAATTTTTTATTTATCGTCTCTGAAGTACTATTTTTTTCTCTTTTTTTTGGGGCTTTCTTTCATAGAAGTCTTGCACCAAAATTAAAAAAAAATTGGGAATTTTTGACCACCTGGGGGTATCCAACCTTTCAACCCTTTTCCCCAAGTTCCCCTTTTAAATACAACTATTTTACTTTAAATCAGGACGCAGTAACTTGAGCGCATCCCAAACCCCTTAAACTCACATCATAAAGTTTAAACAAAGTTTAGGACTAACTACCCCTTGGAGTTTACTTCACTTCCCTTCAAGCATCAATTTTTTTTAAAGGTTTTCTTTATCGCAGCCCAAATTTTTAGGGAACTATTTTAAAAACCCGGATTTACGGTCTTCACGTAATTTTGGGGACTTCTTTTCCAACTTTTTTTTTTATCGCCTTTGTGTCACTTTTCTAATAACCACCCGGGGGGTTTTTGAGGCGCGCTTGAACTGACATTTCTTTGAGTTTTTGATTATTCCTTTTATGTTTTTTTTTATGATGGGGAAGAATTTTTAGTTTTAAATGGAAATCTAGCTTCCAACTAAAAGTTTTTTTTGTTTAAAAAATTAATTTAACTATCAACCCGTCGCCTTCTTACTCCTCGTTACAACCTAATTATACCTTACCTCAATTCTTTTAAAAAAACCATTATAGACGAGAAAAAAAAATCCCCATTTGAATTGGATTTTACCCTAAGACTTCAGCCGACACCTTTTAGCTACGGTTTTCCCATTTCTGAATTTTCCTAATTTTTTATGTAGAAATCACATTAAATTTTTCCCTCTAGCCCATATCTCCCCTTCACGATTTTTTCCCTTTTGAAGATCTACGGGACTTTTTTTTCCCTAACCTTTCTTGGGCCCTTTATTATGAGGTATAAAGGTGCCTTAGAGTGACTAACTGAAATGTGTCAATAATGACATATGAGTTGCATTATAAAGTTTTTTAAAAAACCTTTTTAAAATTTAAAAAAGCAAAAAGATTGCGTTATTTCGCCAAATTTTGGTTTCCAAACCTCAGTTTTTTTGACAAAAGCCAAAACCAGGGGCATTTTACTTTTTAATGAAAAAATTAAATTTTTTTTCCTGCAAGGGAATTAGGCCAGTGAAAAGCTTCAAATTATTTCCCGAGGGGTTTAAAATTTCCCTTTCTTTTCTTTTTTTTAAGGATAAAACATTTTTCATTTTTAAATGTAAAGTGAAGTTTTTCCTTCAAAAAATTCACCTATAGGAAAAAAACCCCACCCTTGCGCTTCAAGCAAAATTCTAATTTAAAATATAAAAAATAGATTAAAAAAAAAAAATAAAAAACAATTCAAATAAAGAATCCTTTTATTAAACTAAATAATTCTCCTGTCTTAATTGTAAGTAAAAAAACCTTTTTTATCCCCCAAATCCCCCCTCACCCCCAAAATAATTTGACCCAAACCCTTTTTCTCCATCTTAAAAAAAGACTCCCACTCCTTTAAACTTCAACGGGACACCCCCAAAATCGCAAATTGGCAAAACCACATAACCCTATAAACTGACAAGGAATTTAAAAACCCAACAGTCTTTAACCTAGTTTTTTGAAACCTTACCTGTTAACCACATAACCTAAAAGGCTCCTAATCCCTCACAATAAACTAAAATTTTAAAAGGAACTCAAACAAATCATAAAAGATTTCCGGATACCCTCAAGCTAAAAACACCCCCCCGTTACCCCCAAAAAATCTAAATTTTAATTATCCCTCAACATTTTCTATGATTTTCCCAACAAATATTACAGATCTTATATTAGAAAAACCCTTATTCTATAATAGATTAATCGAAATGTAAAAACATACTGTTAAAACCAGTACTTAAGACAATAAAAAAAATCTAAAAATATTAATCCCTTATAAATGCAACTTCTAAATTAAATCTTTAGAATAAAATCCACCCAAAAGAGCGTATCCCACATAAAGCTAGGTTAGCTAAATTCATGCAAACCCTATAAAAGGGTATACATATCACTAACCTGCCCATGTTACGAATATCTTGGTACTCTTTTAATCCTATGAATTACCATCCCGCACACATAAACAGTAAAGCCTTAAATAAAGCATGAGTTAAAAAGAAAAAAAGCTAAATCAGCAAACCCCCTAAGATAAAATTCCATTATCACGCCCAATTGTCTCAAAGTTGATAGAGCAATGATTTTTTTCAAATCAACTCAAAATTACCCCCCAAGCCCGCTATAAATATAGTTAAGCAAGAAACAATCAACAAAACCTTTTGTACACACTAACCCCTTAAAGCCCCACTAAAGCGAATCAAAATATAAACACCAGCTGGTCACTAGTGTTGAAAAATGAACTAAAGCTGAAAACCGGAGTAGGAGCAGCTAAAGCGCTGGAAGTCAAGCCGAGAACGGAATTTGAGCTCTCTTAGTTATACAGCAACGCACACTAAAATTTTTAATAACAAAAAATCCCGCTCAAATACTTTCATAAAAAATAAAATTTTTAAAACCCCCCAGCATAAAAAGTTAAGAAATACTCAACAAAATCCCAAAATCTCCAATCCGATTTGACAAAACTGTTAATATGCCTGCATCGCTGATTTCTCGTTTTGGTAATAAATTACCAATACATAAGAAATTAGTCCTAACCCGTCCCAACCAAAAGAATTCTAATTAAATTAGGGCTAATAATCAAAGCTCCTATAGATAGAACAAAACCAAAACTAAATAATAAATCGCCCGTTTCCTTTTTTCCCCACTCATATAATCTCCTCTATAGTAAATTACCATAAGGAAAAAAATAAAACTACCCCCAAAAAATAAGAACCTTACTCAATCATAAATCAAAGTTACACAACAGAAGAAGAGTTTAAAGAAAAAATTTCCCATTCAATTACATAAGAAGACCCCGAACTTAACCTTACTAAACTTTAAAAAAAATAAAACCCAACGCCCTAAATAACAAAAACACTAAACTAACTAAATGACCATAAGCACCCCACATCATAATTTAAAATAACTTCTTATATCTTCGGCACCCCCAACCCGATTTTACTCTAAAATATTTAAATTGAAAAGGGTTTTAGTAGTTTAAATAAAAAATTTTGGTCTTGTAAAAACCCAAAGTAAAGCTCTTTTTAGAACTTTATACAAAATCAGTTATAATATTTTATATTCACTCTCCCTCTTACCTTAAGAATAGCTATCCTGTTCTCAACTCTAACCCACCCTCTCTCCATAGGACTTGCCCTTCTTACACATACCATTATTATCTGTGTACTTTCAGGCCTATTCAGGCCTTCCTTTTGGTTTCATATATTTTATTTCTAATTTTTTTAGGGGAAAATTAATTTTATTTATCTATGTCTCTTCTCTTGCTTCCAACGAAGCCTTTAAAATTCATTTTAAGTCTAGCCTTCTAATCACCTTATCCCTACCCCTGTCCTTTGCCTTAATCTTTTTAGATCTCTTACTTCTCCCATCAAAATTTTTCAGATCTAGATATTCTAAATTTTTGAGAATAAAACAATTTAACCACCCTATCAACCAGCTCCATCTACTCCCTCACTTCTTTTCCCTCTTTCTACCCAGTAATTTATATCTGTTACTTACCTTTAAATTTTTATTGTTGATATTATTAATATCTCATCAAGACCTCTGCGGCCTTCAAAATTCTAACAGGAATTAGTTTACTTTAAAATATTAATTTTTGGGGGATTAAAAAAAAGTATTTACTTTTTTCTGACTTTTTTTTAAAACATTTCAATTTTTTAATCCTTTCATACTAAAATAACTTTGAACTCCTTAGAAGATAGAAACCAACCTGGCTTTCGCCGGTCTGAACTCAAATCATGTAAAAATTTAAAGGTCGAACAGACCTTCTTCTGTAACTGCTACACCACAAAGAAATTTTTAATTTAACATCGAGGCGCAAACTCTTTTGTCGATAAGAACTCTTAAAAAAAATTACGCTGTTAAACCCTAAAGTAATTTATTCTCTAATCCTAAAAAGGATCATATGAACAAGTATCTCTGATTTGAACAAAAAACAGTTATATAATTTATATCTCAGTCGCCCCAACTAAACACCCTGCTAATAATAAACTTTAACACTCCAAATCACTCTTAACCACTTCATGTAAAAAATTTTAAATAGGGTCTTATCGTCCCTCTAACTCATTTAAGCCTTTTCACTTAAAAGTTAAATTCAATCTCCGAGATAGAGACAGCTTTTTTCTCGTCCAACCATTCATTCCAGCCTTAAATTAAAAGACTAAGATTATGCTACCTTCGCACGGTCAAAATACCGCGGCCTTTTAGTCCCCAATGGGCAGGCCACACTTTATATAACTCTCATACAGACATGTTTTTGATAAACAGGCGGAAGACCCCTTTTGCCGAATTCCTTATACTCATCACTCCTTCAATAAATCTCATTAATTTTCCAAAATTTATTTAAAATAAACAACCATATACTAATACATTCATTTTAAATCTTAAACTAAATTCATAAAAAGTCTTTCCTACCTACTTAAAAAAAATAATAAATACTTTTCTTTTGTGCCTCAGATACAACTCCCTGTAAACATAGCTACCTCTAAGCCTAGTTAAACGTACCTTTCTTATTTATTTTTATAACTAAAATAATTAAACAAAGAGCTTACCCCCTCTATTCCTAAACCTTGCCTTACCTTAATGCAAAGAAAAAAATTTAATTTTTTTCAAAAAAAAAAAAACAGATATCTTAAGACCCGATTAACATTTCACTACTAAGATAAAGTTTTGAATTTTTACCACAAAAACTCGACCTTTAATTTAAAGCTCTCCTTATTTCGGGAAAATATCATAAAAATTTAATTAAAATTTCCCTAATACACAAGGTACTTAATTTAACTAATACTTCCCATTTATTTCACTAGCATATTTCAACGTTTCCTGTAACAGTACTATTATCTACGCCAACAACTATTTATTTCCTTAATTACCTACTAAAACCAAAAATATTTTCCAAATCATAATAATTAGCAAGTTTCCATAACAACCAAAATAAGTCACCCCTGCGACAACCTTTTCAACGTAATGAAATGCTAATCTTAGCTTTACTTTAAACTACAATTTTAATCTCCCAAACAAAATAAACTACAACAAACATAAAAACTGCGTACTTAAACTTTACAAACTCTACTATCCTCCTTATTGTCATATATATATACATTTCTTAAAGTAAATTGTCCGAATCATTTTATCATCCTGTAAATATATAATTCACTAATAGATAATGATATTCATAGTGGTTTTATCTGGCGTGTAAGTTATTTTCTATTCCATTTAAGTACTTATATACCTGGGGGGGGGGGGGGAGGTTAGTAAATGTACAATATATATATATATAAACCTAAGCTATCCCATTAATTAGTTTTACTGCTATAATCCACTAATCTATATATATATTCATAGTGTAATCTGGCGTGTAAGTTATTATCTATTTCATTTAAGTATTTATATACTTGAAGTCAGTACACAACGATAAATTTATATATACCAAGCTGCTTTATTAATTAGTTTTACTGGTTATAATCAACTGATATAGATATCTCCTTCTTAGTGTTGCTTTTTCGAAAATTAGTATAAGGAAGTAATAGCTTCGTCTTAACTTCTCCTAGACCGTCTGTTAGAATATCATCATAGAAATGGGGGAATCAAGAGGGATGATTAATACAAGTATAATAGAATCCCCTTCTCACGAAGGTTCTACTTATAACTGTATTAAATCGTACTGGACTGAGCTCAATGTTACATCATTCTGTTACGGTATAGATAGTCTCCCTCCAGGCAATTACAACTTAATTCACCACTTCATATAAAGAACTGTATATATACCTATTCTAGAAAAAAAATACATTCCCCCCCCCATTATGCTTTTTCATTTTATTTTTTAAACAGCTTACCCTTCTTCCCATTTAATCCATTAAGAACAACCAGATATCTAGAGAGGAATTCAAAATACTATAAGACCATATTCCTTATACCTACCCCTCTTAATCTCTAACACTCTTTATGTAAATGGGAAATCGCACCAATCCTCGAAGATCAAAACTTTTCGTGCCCTTTACACTTCTACATATATCATAAAGATAAGCTAAATTTCAAGCTAATGGGCTCATACCTCATTTATGAGAGTAATCTCTCTTTATAATTCCATTCTCACATTATAAAATCATTTTTATATCTTTGCTTTTGTCAGGATCCTTCCTGGCCATTTCTTCTTCCTCATGATTTTCAGCCTGAATTGGCCTCGAACTTAATCTTATATCATTTATCCCTTTAATCTCATCAAAAGAAAATCAACTACCATCTGAAGCCTCCTTGAAATATTTCTTAATCCAAGCCCTTGGATCAGCCATTATTATTTTATCCTCAACCTTAACATTTTTTATCCCGATAGTCTCGCTCTCATTTATTTCCTTAGCCCTACTCCTTAAACTAGGGGCCGCTCCGTTCCATTTTTGGTTCCCCCAAGTCATAGAAGGTCTTAATTGAACCCAAATTATTATTCTCATAACAATCCAAAAACTCGCTCCAATATTTTTAATCTCTTATTTATCTTCAGAATATTACACACACGATATTCTCTTTTTCGGTGCGATTTCTTCTGCTATCATCGGGGCACTAGGAGGAGTCAACCAGACATCCCTTCGAAAAATCTTAACCTACTCATCTATTAATCATTTATCATGAATACTTTTCGCTATACTTATTAATGAGACCTCCTGAATAATTTACTTTTTTATATACACTCTAATTTCGGCTTCAGTAACCTTTTACTTCGCATCCACCCAGACATACCTTTTTTCTCACTTAATTAACGCAGGTCATGGCTCTCTTCCTAAAATCATCTCAATTATAAACCTTTATTCGCTAGGAGGCCTACCACCTTTTTCTGGTTTTATCCCTAAATGAATCATTATTCAAGAAATAATTCTACATCTTTCTACTTGCCTTTGTTTATCCTCCTCCTTTCTTCACTTGTAACTCTTTATTTTTACATCCGAATTACTTTATCCTCTATCACAATTTCCTTTACCCAAATAAAATGAAATATTTCCTTTAAACCCCTTAAAATCTTATCCTCTCCCTTATACTCCTCAATCAATTTATTCGGACTTTTTATCCCATCTATACTTTTAGTTATCTAAGATTTTAAGTTATTTAAACTAACATCCTTCAAAGCTGTCAAAAAAGTAATAATTTTTTTAAATCTTACCTTTCACTGATAAGAAAGTATAACTTCTATTTAGATTTACAATCCAACGCCTTTAACCTCAGCCACCTTATCCTACAAATTACACAAAATTAAAGAACCTTTCATAAACATGATATTTAACGGGACGCTATGTATTAACAAGACAAAGTACTCCATTACCTTCCCGGAACAACAAGAAAATAAGGTATTTAAAAATAACCCATGTTGCCTTAGTGAATACATATATAAAGTGTAGCAAGCCCTGAAAAAAGACAACAGCCCTACTCTAAATATAATTAACTTTCTCCATCTAACCACTCTAATAATTAAACTAATCTCTCCTATTAAGTTCAAAGTTGGAGGAGCAGCTATATTTCCCACAGCTAATAAAAACCACCACAAACCTATATTTGGTATAATATTTAGCAAACCTTTCCTAATTATCGAACTTCGCCTTCCTAAACGCTCGTAAACTATATTTGCTAAACAAAATAAACCTGAAGAACATAAACCATGACCTACCATCACTACTACAGCCCCATTTAAACCTCACCCCCTTATAACAACCAACCCTCCTAACACTAAGCCCATATGGGCCACAGAAGAGTAAGCAATTAAAGATTTTATATCCACTTGACGCAAACACATTAAACTAATAATAATACCCCCTAAAATCCCAAGACTCACTCACACCCAACAAAATATTTTATTTGCCTCCGAAAACACCCCTAAAATCCGAATTAAACCATAACCCCCTAACTTTAACAACACTCCAGCCAATACTATAGACCCCGCAACCGGAGCCTCCACATGAGCCTTAGGCAACCATAAATGAAATATAAACAGAGGTAATTTAACCATAAACGCAAATACAGAGCAAAAATACCACAATAATCTAGTTCTCTGGTAACCAATTATCCCTAATAATAATCCTATATTCAATCTACCTATACTTTTATATAACCTCAATAAAGAAGCTAACAGTGGCAATGAAGCAAATAAAGTATAGAACAGTATGTAAATTCCAGCCTGAATTCGCTCAGGTTGATAACCTCAACCTAAAATTAGTACGAGTATAGGAACTAATGATCTCTCAAATCTAATATAAAACATTAGATAATTTACTGATCTAAAAGTTAAAATTAAAACTACCAACAAAATTAAGTTCACTGACAAAAACCCCGCACAAAAATTATCCATTTTCTTACTATAGCTCTCCTAAAAACTATTAGCATTACAATTCAAACTCTTAATACAATCAAAATGTATCTTAAATAATCAACCCCCATTATATAACCCAGACAAAAAGAACAGAAATCATGATGTATTATTAACAATCTCATAAAACATATTATCAATAAACCAACCTGAATAAACCCCCAATTCATCACAAACCCTATTAAAACCAAATTAAATACCAAAAACTTTAACATACTAAAATTCCAAACCCCCTAAAATAATCATTACCATGTGAGCGAACAATGGAAACCAGTAAAGACAAGCCTAAAGCCCCTTCACACGCAACCATCACTAAAAAAAATATTACAAACACACCCTCTAAACCAACCCTGAATATGTAAACTCTCATAACCCCAAACACATTTAATATAATAAATTCCAATCTTAATAAAACATTTAACAAATGCTTATGATTCGAAATAAATGCTCAGAACCCGCAAAAAACTATAGTTAACAACCTAAAGCCCTCGATCCTTAATATCATCATACACCTCTATCTCCTCTTAAATTACTTTAATCTTTACTCTCTCAAAACTTATGACTTCACCTTTACGTAAATCCCATCCATTACTTAAACTCGTTAATTCTACACTTGTAGATATGCCAATTCCTGCTAACATTTCAATTTTTTAAATTTCGGGTCCCTCTTAGGGTTATGCTTAGTAGCTCAAATCACAACCGGGCTATTTTTATCAATTCATTTTACCCCACATATTGACCTAGCTTTTTCGAACGTAGCACACATCTGTCGTGATGTCAATTATGGATGATTGTTCCGCACCATTCATGCAAATGGAGCCTCCTTTTTCTTTATCTGCATCTACTCTCGTATCGGCCGAGGTATTTATTATGGATCATTTGCCCTTTTCCACGCTTGAAGAATCGGTGTTCTAATTCTATTTTTAACAATAGCCACAGCCTTTCTAGGCTATGTCCTACCCTGAGGACAAATAT